TCTATGAGCATTAATTACCTTTTGCTTTAAACAAGCTCGCTGTTAATTTTCACGATGGGGTCTGTGGGGTAACGTTGTGAATGCATGTGCAGTTTGACACAATTTTCAGTCTCCTCTGTCTCTCCTTCCTGTCATCCCTTTCCTTTGCTTTTCTCCTGGAGCATTTGTTGTGCTGCGTGGTTCCAGCATGTTAAACTTTGTTTGTGCCCTAAACAACCTTTGCTTTGCAGAGACCAGATGGCTTCCTCCATGGCTACGACAAACTCTACTGCCCCTGTAGTGGTGTGAGATAAAGCTGCTGCTCAAAAGAGCAAGCAGTGGTGCTGCTCTTAACTGGGAAGGTGGAGTTGTGGCAACATCAGGGCACCCACCTGCAGAGCAGGAAGATGCTGAAACCAGTCCTCAGATTGCATGGGGGAATGAGGGAGATGGAGAGAAGGCCCTGCTGGGTGGGGGCTGTCGGAGGCAGCTATCGCTGCAGTGTCGCATAGGCTGTCATGTTCACAGCACAATTGTTTCCTCAACAGATCGTGCCCAAGGTTATGGTAGGTTGGGAGAAGAGAAAGTGGCCAGGGCTGAAGGAGAACAGTTACAAAGGGCACGAAGGGAATAGACACACCACGCATTGCTGCGGAGATCTGTCACAGATCTAATTTCAGCTCTTGCCATTACAGCTCTCAGATATTTCTAACAGTTTTCCAGAAATGTTTGGTGAAAGCTCAGGCATTTTTAAAAGACTTCTGTGACCATCTGTACATCTGTCGCTGGGGCTGGTTAAAAAACTTAATGGGCTGGAAAGGCTTCCTGGGAAATGAAAATGATGTAGGAAATGGATTCAGGTGGCAGTGGAGGCATCTGCAGTCCATCGACAACTGCAGCAGGATCGATAAGAAATGAAGAAGGGCTTTGAAATGACATCTTGGCCTTCCACAAGTTCTGATCCCGGATCTTTGGCTCTGCTGGAGCCATCCGCTGGTCCCTAACCATGCTTTTACAGACCCTGTGTCTCTGAGTTGTTTGTGGGGAAAGGAGGCTCCAGATGTCCCACTTTGGTGCGCTAGAGTCTGGGCTTTGTCACACCTAAGGGGAATAATTGTGCTTGTTTCTAAGGCCAGGAGCAGAAGGTGCTCACTGGTTTGAGTTTTAATTTTGGCTTAAGTTAACACAGCAGACAAGATCGATGTAAGCTCTCTCAGCATAGCATGATCCTCACATCCCTGCCAGAGAATGGCCACAGCACGGTTAGTTACCAGACAAACATGAGCATGGGCTGAAGTGACAGCCCGTAGGAGAGCGGTACAAGTGCCACCCCTGTGCCTTTTAGCTCCTGGTCTCTCAGCTCGGCCTGCCCTGCTTGAAGAGCTCATGCTGAGCATGGTTTGCAACGTCTCTTCTCACAATGGAAATCATATCTGAGGGCCACCTGGACTTTTGGTACCATGCTCCCTGCAGCCGGACTGCATCCTATAAGCAGCTGGCATTTTGGTAAAAAGAAACAGCCCCACTTTTGGCCTTCTGTTGTGCTGGAGTTTTATGTGAAGCCAAGGTCTCTGTTGCCTTTAAGAAATATGCATTTGTTGTTGTCATTTGTTAGTGCTGTTTTTGAAGGGACAAAGTAGGGGCAAGGGGTGTCTACCTGGCTAAAGAGAGAGAAAATAAAACATTACAATGAAAGCTCTCTGCAAAGCTTTTAAGCTGTGAAGAATTTGCCTGGCATCCAGGCTGGCTCACTGTCCTTTTTTTTTTTGTTCTTTATCATTAGGCTTCCTTGAACTTTAACTGAACCATAAGGAAACTATGAAGAGTCTCAATAGCTGCCCTGTGAGGATTTGACTTACCCATTGGATCTGCTATTTATAGTGTCCATTAGTACAAAAATGTCTGTCCTTTTGCAGCAGTCATGTATAGCAAAAACACTGCTGTTCTGGTGAACTGCCTGTGCCTCCTGTGTCACCCAAAATATCCATCAACAGAGTGCTCAAAGTGAGCCTTTCTTGATTTTAAAATAGAAAAAAAGGATAACAACCCTGAGGACATTTTTATTTTTTATTTATGTATTTTCGTAGTCTGGAATTACCATTTTTCAAGAGGCACCGTTTTACCTCCAGCCGCATCTCCCTGTTCAGCATAATGTGTGTCCCAGGCAAATTAAATCAGGAAGAGAGCTGAGGGGGCAGAAGCTGTCTTACAGCCTTGGAGGGCCCATCTGCACCCCAGAATCAGGCTGTGTGTAAACAAGTATAAATTTGTAACAATCAAAATCGTTTGTTGTATAGATTTGTCCTACCTTGCTGGGAAGAAGCTTGTGGTAGTTTGGGTGGCAGAGACTAAGTGGGTTTCCTCTGGATATACTCCAAGCTACTCAATATGGTAAAAGTTTCGATACTCTGTTTCTGAAACATTAATTGAAGCCTTTTCTTGTAATTTTCATGTGCAAATAAGCTTAAAAATTGATTTTCTGAAGTCTTCCCAATTGTATCAGTGCAGACTTGATGATGTTACTTCTGTTGGTATCATGGTTTATAGGTTGGTGTGGAAGTTTGGACAGAAGGGTCACATTGCATGAGTGCGGTGTCTTCCAGAGCCACAGTGTTCCCTGCAAAGCTCTGTGTCCTTCTCCATGCTTATCAGAGCTGTCAGGGCAGTGTTCCTCCATATTCTCAAATGAACAGAATCTGAGCACGAAAACGCTGCGTGTTGAAGGTTGCTTTTTGCAAGACTGACTTCCTACCTGCATTCCTTGTCCTGCCATGCAAGGTGCTGCAGCTCGGGCTGTGAGGTGCAGTGTGGAACAGAGCTCCACGTGTCTCTGGAGAGAGGGAATGCCAGTCTGGAGAATTCATCTTCCTACTTGTTTCCTGTACTGTTGTGCAGTCTGTGTGTGCCTCACAGCACAGGGAATTGTCAGGACCTGTAAGGATTTCCAAGCACTGTTTGTGTCCATTCCACTGCTGCGCACCATGTAACCATCTGGGAGGGTTTGTGAAGCATCATCTCTTCCCTGTTCCTCACTGTGGGGTACAGAGGAACACATCCAGCAAGGGTGGAAGTGGGAAAAACTCCAAAATGAGATACAGGAGCCTAAAATGCGACTGGGAAGACTGATGGGGTTTTAACCAGCGTCGCTCTTTGGTCCATATGACTGGAGCCACATGCACGAGTTGCTTATGGGGCTTGGTCTCATTTACATAACAAAGTGGAGTTTCACTTAATGCACTGAGGGCGTGTTGTTGACTAGAGGGACAGAGAAGCAGAGCTGCCACACCTGGCCTCCTGCTGATACGGGCATCTGTATCACGTAGTTTCTTTCATAAATATATTGATCTCCATCTCAAAGCCAGATGAAGTTTTTCCTTCTGTGGGGAAGACTGCCGAAGCATCATGCAAAACGTCTTCTGATTTCAGGTCTGATTTCAACTTGATCATTTATCTAGTCAGTTTATCCTTGGTTTTCCTCATCTATTCTTAGATGAGCAGTTTTTAACAATCAACTTATTTTCCATTGCTTGGTGGTGGTTCTGACACATTCATCCATCAGCTCTTGGTATTGGCTGCAGCCAATGATGCTGTGTTGTAGTCCCCGCCCTCCTGGCAACCAGTCAAGAGGGAAGTGAATGGTAGGATATAAATACCAACAATTATGAAAGTTCTTTGCCAGTGGGTTGTTTTTTTAATATCTCATTACATACTCAGTTTGTTCAAAAGGGAGATTAACGGAGCGTTTTGTTTTCAGATGAGCATGACCGTGAAAGTCGAGTAACTTGCATCTGTGTTTCTTGGGGAAAAAAGTTGGTTTTTCTGAAGTACAAATGAAGAAAAATAACTTTGCATTAAAAACACTGTGGAATTCTGCCAGAGTGAGATGAAGCCACTATTAATCTAATGGACAGCATCCCTTGTTGGGGTGGTTGCCGTAAAGTTGCAAGTAGGGCATTGATTTAAATATACTTCCCCTTCCCTTGCCTGGAGGGAGCGGTAATGGATGAGCAGAGAGCTTTTATTTCTGCCCCCAGGGATGGTGTTTAATGGGGGCCCTGCGAGTGCAGAATGTTGCCATCTGCAGTGGGGTGGAGCAGTGCTGAGCGATTCCTCGCTGGAATCCTCGCGATGGAGGATTCCACTGGACACACTGCACAGTGCTGGTCATGGGGAAAGCAAAGCATGGTCGTGGGGCACCCACCTCCATGGAGCATGCAGCAGCCCCAGCGACTCTCCTGGTGCTCCTCTTCCTTGCCCGAGCACAAGCAGCAGCTGGGAGCAAACCAGTATCCCAGACCAGGGCCTGCGAGTCCATCCTGCACCATGGATGTTATCTTCTGCAGTCCACTTGTGTGGTATTCAGTGCTACTGGTTAATTAAAACTTCTTGTTGCATTCTTAAAAGGGATGAGGAGCCCAAAATACACGTTTAAATCATATTGAAATATTTGTCTCTTCTATTTCAAGTCCCTCATTAGCATATCCTTAGATGTGTAAGTGCCTTTAATGCATATTAACTGTGTGCTGATGGAGTGGAAACATCTGAAGTACAAGTAAGAATGCAGCTAACTCCATACATAAAACGTCATGAAATCCAGTTACTGAAGTGATTGTGCTACCATGGTTTGCAAAACAGTACATAAGGCAAAAAAAAATAAAAATTTGCAAGACATTTTATAGATGATCATTGTAAAATGTTGCTGTTGTTGCACATTGTCCCTAACAGACCAAAGGAAGAACGTTTCATAGTGCTGCTTCGTGCATCTTTCTGCAAAGGCTGGAATCCTGGTCTTTATAAACACTCAGCGTTTTCCACAGAGGTCTTTTGAATATCTTGTCCTTCTATTTCATTTTTAATGATTTGCTTTTATTTCAGGAAAAGATTACCTTCTAGAAAATGCTTCAAGTCAGTCTCCATTTTTTAATATGCTGTTTAATCTTTACAATTTTTGAGAAATCCTTCTCATTATTGTGCTTTTCTTTGTGTTGTTTTTTTTTTTCTCTTTTTTTCTGCTGCCACAGAAGAAGTGTCTGCAAGGATAGTGCAAGTAGTAACAGCTGAAGCTGTAGCAGTCCTCAAGGGTGAACAGGAAAAAGAAGCCCAGCACAAAGATCAGCCTGGACCACTACCTATAGGTAAAACAAGATGAAGAATGCTCAGAGTATCCTTGCATCTGCAAACATCATATATACATATATTAAAAAGAAACCCAAACAAACAGTTTGTATTCAACAGCACAGTGTGTATTCATGTAGGTCATAGTCGTGGGTGAGCTACGGCACCATGCGATACTGTCACCCTTACTGCCTCAGTTCTTCATTCCTCTTTGGCAGTCCCATTCACTGTGTGCCCACAAGGGCAGCTTTCCACCTATCTATTGAGCAGTGCAGCTGTGACTAGAGTTGGTGGAGGTGGTTTTGTGTGGTGGACCAAGCAGCACTGACAGCCCTTTATGTTCAGCTGTTGGAGAGGAAGCTTGATGTCTGAAGAGACAAAGATTAGGTGAGAGGCATATAAAAAGAATGAGATTTTATTGATTGATGGCAGCTACTCCAGAATACGGAAGATGAGCTTCTTGACAAGACACAGAGAGGAATAGGGGACCAAGGGTGGGAGTGGGAGAGGGGACAGCAGTCGTGAGTGTGAGGCAGAGGGAGGGACACCAGGTGGAAGCAAGTGCGGTGCTCCAGACTGGAGGTGGTCCAAAATGCAACTGTATGTATATAGAGGTAACTGTACAGCCATTTGTGGGTACAGTGCTTCCTCACTGCCAGAAAACTTCCTCAGTTGCCCAGAGCATGTACACAAACACCAGAGAAAGACCAAATGCTGTCCTGAAGTGATGAATGTCTTACAAGCCTGTCCCCAGGATTAGTCTTGCTGAGAGTGTGTATGTTGTGATCAAATCAAAATAACACTTCATGGTATTTTTCCCACAGGCATTCCACTTGGTACAGTGGCTGGACCCTGCCTAGGAATGAATTACAGTCAATGAGTAATTAAAAGAATTAGTTGTAAATTTGATCCCTAGGTGTTTTGCTTCATTGGATTAATTTTGAGCTGCAGGTTCAGCAGAGTGATGTGTGGCTCAGTAACTCCCTTCTTTGCAGAGACTGAATATTACGTGAAAGACCCCGATTCCACAAAACACTTCATACATATTTAAGGACACAATGCTTCACTGGGGCCTTTGTGAGTCAAAACGAGTATTCAGTTACATGCAGTGAGGTAAAACACTTCAAACATGGTAAGGAGTGCTTCCTCAGTTAGCACATACTGGTGTTACAGTTCCTGTGATCAATCAGTATTACATAAATGCAGCTACAAAGGGCCTGTAGTGAAGATAGAAATACTCTGTGCCTGGACAAGCAAATCTGACAGGCCACTCACATAGGGCTTTCTTCCAAACTACATTGGTCTCAGGGGAAAGAAGGCCAGGAAAATTCTTCTGGGGCTTTGAAAGTGACCCTTCTATCCTTGTAAGGAGTCATGAACTGAGAGCTGGTTGTTGGGACTTGCTGTTTATATAACAGATCTGTTAACGGACTCGTTACTTTTCTCTTCTTTTCTTCTTCTCCTTCAAAATGTGGCTCAAGTCACAGTGGAAGCTTTGGTTTAAAAAAAAAAATGAATCTCAAAATGATTAGTATGAAATCAGATGCAGAAATTATGTTTAATTCATTTAAGCAGCAGCTTGTTCAGGATTTTATCATACTTTTATTGAAATTAATGAAAAAACATCATCTGGTTTCAGCATGCAGACTCGTGACTGGAAATGAATTGAAACATAACCTAAGTGAAGCTTTGATTTCACAGCATCTCACTCAGCTCAATTGTTAACAGGTCATAGCTGACATAAGTTCTCTGTGCTGATGTCTTTTGTATTTAGACAAAGAGTATTTGCATACATTCTGTAATTAACTTTGAACTCAGTAGAAGCAAAATAAAAAAATGGTTGTAAAGTGTTTTGTGTTCACATACTCAAGGTAAACTGAAGATTGGATGCCAGTTTCTCGCTGTTACAGTTAGCCTGAATTTGTAAAATCTCTCCTCCACGGATGCTTTATTGTTGTTGCCTTGAGTGACTGAAGGCTAAGTGCCATACTGATCTGAAAGATAATTTCATACTTCATTTTTTGTATGGCACTCTCTGACTAGAATTTTGAAAATAATGCGTTTCATCTAAGAAAACAAATCTTTTTAATACAGCTTTAACAACCCAGAGTTCTGAAAGGTTCTCCTGCAGATCCCTGGCATGCAGGTCCCCATCCACTAATTCTCTCAGCTGGGCAGCGCAGGCTGACTGCAGCCTGCATCAAGCATTGGTCTCCTGGGAATTAATTGCTGTATCTTGTTTCCATTGTTTGATTTCCAGCAGTCGAAGAGTCAGCCAACCTGCCTCCTTCCCCACCTCCTTCGCCAGCTTCTGAGCAGACTGGAGCTCTGGAGGAAGGTAAGGGTCTCCTGAACAGTGTACGGCTGCCAGAGGAGGGATGAGACATGAATCTAAAGCAAGGGGGAATCAGAAAACGGAGATACCTCCTTCAGCTTCATGTGGAAAGATAAGGCATTCCCCAGCAGTAACTCCCCATCTGCAAACCAACTGCAGTGCATGGATGAGGTAGATCCATATGCACAGACATAACTGACAGGATATGTTAAGTACATCCATATTGAAGAAGAAAAGGTGGTGATGCTAACTAACCCTTTAATCTGTCACATGTAATATCAGCTGGGATGTCTGCTATCCCAGTGTGGTCACCAAAACTCAGTCAGTATGGGTAATTCCTGTTTTCCTAGGATTCTTTTGTCTGGATTCTGTGTTGTTTTGCTTTTAATCACCGTTAGCTTTGTATTTGGAATCTTAAACACATGAAAGTAAGGAGGTTGAGCGTTGGATTGTTTTTCTGATCTTCAACCTGTAATTCCTGCTTCAGTGTCTGCATGCAGTGGGGTTTGTACCCATCGTGCAGGAGTGAAATTCTAGTCTCATAAAGAACATTTCTGTTATCTGCACAATGAATATTCAGTCTCCATAGCCCATGATCTCTGCTTTTCCCTCTTGCTAAAATCCCCTCATCAAAGAAATCAAGCGTTCACTTAATGTTTAAGTAGAAGTCTAAATCCCAGTGAAGTTGTCACTATGGTAAGCGTGTATGTCAGTGGTTTCTTCAACAGAAAAAGAGTGCTGCATCAAGGTCATCAGTAGAGAGAGAAGGCAATATACCAAAGCTGAGCCATATCACGTAGATATAAGGAAAGAATTTGGGTTCAGAGTCTCTAGGGGGCTGTCAGCTGAACTCTCCAGTGTGAACAGTGTTTTTGTGTGTCCATTTATTTAGCCCTTCTTTCCCCCCCCCCCCCCCAGTTTTTTTTTCCCTAGTAAATGTATGAAAGTAATTTCTTGTCATTTGCTGAGCAAACTTTGTTAGTATTTTAACAGAGACTCTATTAACTTTGGAAGTGAATAGCTCCTACTGCGTGTGCTAACATAGTTTATCGAGACACTGCAGTTAGGCGTGTTCATTCCTCCAGTCCTTTCTGAGATGATGCAGTTACAGCTTGTGCTAACAACAACATTGGGCAGTCCACTGTACTGGAAATACATCATGGATATATGGTCAATAACCAATATGTAAAATCTGATTTATTGGGTGCTAGTTTTGTTGTGTCGGCGGTGTGTGTGTGTATTTTGAAAAACTGGTACACGAGTTCTCATCATCAAAATGACTGACTGGGAAGGAAGCTAGTAGAGTGTTAGCAAGGCTTTTATAGTTGTTAACCAGGTTTTCACCACTTTTTTTTCTTTTTTTTATAGAGTTCACTTGAGTAGTTTTCCATATGCTTTTTGATTTTTCACATCACAATAAAGGCCCTGACCTACTTCAGGCAAATGTCAGCCCTCTTCCATTACTTCGTTTAGGGTTAGCTTTATGTATTATTTCTATTAATTACGTTATTTGCACGTATTGTAGGGTTTTATAAAGCAGTCACATTGATAATTGTCAGGAGATTACAAATTGTCACCTAAGGAGATGGACACAATCTTGCAAGTTGTACTAGCAGAAGGTGGTGAAATGTAGCCCATGCTACATAGCACGATGGCGTTATCGACTACTGGGCAGTGTTGTTCAGAGCTGGGCATGTGTCTCAGTACATCACTCAATATCACTGTTCTTCTTCTTCCTGCACGTACGTTTGAGTTAATACAGTAGCACTATGGTTGCTTTTTCCCCAGATGTTAACATTGTCCATTTTCAGTGTAGTAGTGGGCTCGAAAGGAAATACAACATTTTGTGTTCTGCTTTATGTTGGAAGTTGTGGTTCTCATTTCCTGTGGGTCAGTTGAGTTTTGCTGAACTCGGGGAGCCAGTTCTGTCATTTTGATTCAGGCAAAGCTCCCACTTGGAAGAGTTTACCTCAGTAGGTTTTGACCCCGTTTGTACTGTACTTGTTTACACCTTTGGTTCCCTATACCACCAGGCTCTCCATCCCCTGCACCTTTACGTTGTCTGTCTTTCTACTCAGAGAAACACATTTATAAATTTATTCAGTTCTGAAGCTGTTGAAGAAGAAAAAGGCAAGTATTTGGTATGTGTATCTGACTCAGGCTTCCTTTTTTTCTGTTTTCTCAAAACGTTTTCCTAGCGCACTTGTCAGTGTGTGTTGCATTGCTCTGCATTCAGAAGAGGCTTCCTTCAGTCATAGTAGACTGAAATCACTGTTGTAGACATGACAAAGGTGGATGTGGCCAGCCATGCAGCAAATACAAATTATTAAAAAAAAAAAAAAAGGTAGAAAAGACAAAGAGGTTTGTGGGTCAAGTGTATTTCATGACAGAAGGGAGGCAGTGGATGTAGGTTTCTTCCTTTCGTTTGGCTGCAAAAAACCATTTCGATGAGCCTGTCCCTTTTTACTGCTGCACAAGGTAAGATAACTAATGTGCCCTATTGACACTATTTCATTTATTTCACCTACTGTAACATATTTTTGCTCAGGAAATTAGATTTTCACTGTCTGATCCTTTCATCAGTTGTATCTGGTCATGCAGGACTGATGCGGTGCTCTCTTGCCAACCTGGCATTTCTTTTGTGCTCTGTGCCTTTTGACAATGGTCTGCAGTATCTTCGTGTAAAAATTCTTCTCAATGTTACAAGATAGCAGCATGCCTTGAGGGACTCCCTTCCATTTAGAAATAAGCATTTCAGGATATGCATTATATATCAAATGAGAATATTTTGCAAACTGAAAGTAACTGTATGTCCTATAAAAAAGGATCTATATGCAGTAATCATTATCTAATGAAGGGCATTCTTGAAATATACCTGCAAGCTAAAGCTGAATTAGCTTTTGTGAGAAGTGATTTTTATCTTGGACTTCAGAAAAACGTGGGAATTCTTCCTGTGCTTTAGATGAAAACTATTAGAAGGGACTAAAATTGCAAAGGAGGTTTTTTTGTTGCATAAATACAAACATATTTCTCTTCAAAGATTTCATTGTCATGTTAGTGCAATGTTCTGCAGTAAGTTCAAAAATAACAAAACTGAAAAAAAAGATGTAAATCTGTGATAACCACAGACATAATGGTTCCAATTAGACTTTGCAATGATTTTGGCCCGTCACAGTAGTGTGTATTTGAGCATTTGTAATGTTGTCAGTCCTGCTGTGCTAAAAAGCAGAAGCAGACCTATGCTTTTTTGACCTCCTTCCATGCAGAGCCCGTGAAGAAACAACTTCCATCTTTGTTCACATCAGTCTAGAACAATCAGAGTTTCGTTTTCACTCCTGTTGGTGCATTTTACATCCGAAGAGTCTGTGTTTAAAATAGGATCCACAGCCAGAAAGAGAACGTCCAATTTTCTCACTGCACTTTCCATCTCTGTAGTGCACCACCTCCTCCTTTGTGCATGTCCTCCCTCCCTGTTGCGCTTCTGGCCACGAGAACCTTGTGTTCTCTTCTCCACAATACCCTGGTTCCAGCAAATAGATAGCAAGTGCATCACACCCCTTGCTGCTCTTGTCCACAGTGATAAACAAGAACTAGTGTGAGGGCATCTGCACAGCACTAGATCTTGCAGTCCTGAATGTGCTCGGGAGAGAGTTGGCTCCTGGGCTGTCACGTGCTGTGCCATTTCTTCATCCTCTGAAACGTATCTTTTGGAAACAGTGAGCCCCCTCAGATCTGTCACTGCATTTTGTGGAAGTTTCTATCAAGAAGAAACCTGTGGTTACGCATTGCAGGTGGATCAAGACAAAAAGATGCTTCACTGCAGCCTTGTTGCCAGGCCTGAAGTGCTAGGGAAAGGTGGGAGGCAAGGTTCAGCCCTGCATTTAGCGTCTCTTATTGCAGGGCTCTGCAGTTTCCTGCTCAGCAGAGGCAGGCAGCTGGTACATTTCTCTACACCTTGCTTTTAAACACACTTGAAGTCCTGAATCTGTGTTTTAGATTACACTACAGGGGTGGAGCATCTAAATTATCAGTAGTTCAAGGCAACGTTTGTGCCCTGAACAAAATTGTAGGTATGACTCCTATAAAGTTCTTTGGGCATTATTTGTATTTGTGCATGGGTGCACTTGACATACATTCATTACTGGTCAGACCAGCTCAGGGCTGTCACAGACTCTGACACAAGGATAGTCTTTCTTTTACAGCACAGGAAGACATTTTGGAGCTATTAATATTAAGATTGATGAATAACTTTTCTCTCTCTCTTCTTTTTTTTTTTCCGGGGGGGGGGGGGGGGGCGTTTGTTGTTGTTGTTGTTGTTGTTGTTGTTGTTTTTGTTTTTCCACTGCTTGAGCCTAATAGGGTTAATTAAAGGATGCCCAGCATCCTTTTCTGGGGCAGAAGAAACACTAATCAATACATTAAGAGCTCTTAGTGATGGGATCGGTTTGGTCACAGGGTGTGACCAGATGATAGAGGTGGATAAAAATGGCTTTCTCAAGCCTGGTAGTGGTAGTAACTGTGGCATTCATGAGCCTTTGGGTTGCACACAGAGATCTGGCTAGTACCAGTTATTCTGTCTGTGTTAAAGGATTGCTTCCTGACTCATTGCTTTCTATCTGTGAGGAAAGTTTTGGAAGCTCTGGGGATCGTTAAGTTGTAATTGTCTGGAGAAAGATCAGGGTACGCTCAGCACGGACGCTGCTAGGAAATCCAGTGGGTTAACTGCAGCTGCCACAGGCAACAACAAGTTGCAAAAAAATGGACTTGAGATGTATTTTCTCTCATACTAGAATTCTAGTTTTTCATGGCTCAATTCGTGGTCAGAGCAGACTATAGCCAGGTCTCCTCTTTAGGTCTGTATGGGTCAGTCATTTTTGTTGCACTGTTATTTTTGTCCAGGAAGAGCAAACCCAGACTATCTCTCCCTGTAGCTGTCAGTAGATGGTGTAGTCCTGAACTGATTATGTGATTATCTGTGAAGCTACAGCGGCGGGTGAATAAAGGTGTCATTCTGAAGAACTGGTAAACTCTGAGGTGGGAAGCCTTTCCTCCAACAGAAATGAGCCACAACAGTGTGAAATACAGGACCAACAGAGAGTGCTATGAGCAGCTTTGTGTGGCCTTTTTCAGAAGCAAAGAAAGCTGGCAATTAGACAAAGGCACTTTTGTTTGTTTGTTCATTTTGTTTAACTGTTATTTACAGGAAAAGGAGAGGAGTGAGTACATTGAAATAGATAAAAATGACAATTGGTGAAAAGCAAACTAGTTTACACTTACAATTGAAGGACTTACAACAACAAAAAAAAGTACACCTTGATGACTGCCGTTGACACCTGGTGACGAGGAATACAAAAGAATGCAACTGTTGGGATAGTCCAAAAGTTTTTAGAACAGCCAGTGCAAGTTGTGAGATGTGGTTTGTGCACAATGTATATTCCTCTAAATAATGAGTGCAGTCTGGAAATTACTTTACTCCGGCTGTTGGTTCCCAGCGTTCACAGACCTTGCAGGAAGTGCCACATTCATGGCACGTGTTAAAACACACAGCTGCCCCATCCCTCCATCCTGCATTACTTTGCAGCTTGGCTGATTTCACCCACTCTGCAGTATGACACAGTGGCTAGTGTTGCTGGTGCATGCATCCATCCTGTCTTGCCGTGTTTCTGTCTGTCTGTCCTGCAGTTTTTGTCTGTGTGTCTATTTGTAGATGCAGGGGCGGAGGATAAGGTGGGACCGCTACCCCTGTGCCCAGGCTGCGGGCCTGCTGCCAGCAGGGAGTGGCGTAAAGGCCTGGCCCCCTCCATCTCAGTGTCTGTAGCCGATGATGAGCCCTACAATTCGGATGAGGAGTACTATGAGCACCCTTTGTTCAGCTCAGAGTGGACTGGCTCTTGTACACATCCCAGTGCCACAGTGAAGAGCACAGAGGTCTTGTTGGGCTATGATGAAGGTGAACTGAGCATGGTCCCATTTTGTTCCTCTTCCCCTCTACCCACCTGCCATCCATTCCATTATATGTGTGCCTGGGATTGCTGCTTTCTGGGGAAGGAAAGAGTCTGACTCCCAAGTCTTTCACTCTCAAAGTGAAGCTGCAATGTGAACACTGAATGCTATTTTGGCGTCAATGAAACCGTGCTTAAACCATGTAGGTCTACTGGCCAAGTTGATGGCAGATGCAAAAAGAGCAGACACTAATTTTTACTTTGTGACAGTGAATCACAGCTAGGAACAGTGTGCAGAGTGGGTTAGAAGGTTGTTACTGAAGTTAAGTCAGCTGAGTTAAACTCATGTCTGTACTAGAGTTAGCAGTGGAGGATCTTTAGTTCTTCACTAGACAGGAAATCAGTTTTTTTTTCCCCAGTACATACTGGTGTCTTTAGGCAGTACTGGGTCACGTTTGATCTCTGGTTGTTCTGTGGATGCACCCAGTCAACACTGTCAGCTGGCTGCAAACAAGGCAGACGTATTAAAAAAGTTTGCTATTTCTTTGTTCCTGTACCCCTTCCTTCTGCAGCCTGGGTCCAGCAGTAAGTATTATTTTATTTGTGGAGTTTACATAAAATCAACTTTTTAGGAGTCGAGGGAGAATCTGTTTCAGTGTCTAATGAGAACTGTGACTTCTTATCCAAGGCAAACTGGATCATGTTTCATCAGGCAGTATTTGATTAACTTAATCTTGAGACACAGGAGGTGAAGTTAAAAGCAGATCTGAATTCTCTGGGGATGTGTGCCTGAGAAAGGCGGAGGTCTGTGACTGAAATAGCTCAATGGGGCATTTCAAGAGCAGGAGGCTTGTCCACAGTTAACAGGATAATGTAGCCCAGTAGTGCAGCAGCATCAGAATGAGAGCAATGCAAATAACTGCAGATTGTCAGTGTCAGGATGTCTGCCTGAAGCTGGGAGAGTCAGAAAATCACAGGCATAGCCTTACTGTAGTTGGGTTTCTGCATTTGTTCTTGAAACATTCCTGCTTTTTAGTTCGTAAGCAGCATAATTGCCAATCATGCACATCCACATCTAGTGAAATCGTTTGCTGATGCAAACTTTTGATATTGTTAGCACTGTTTATGTATCAGGTTGTTTGCCTCTGTGTATACGTGTGCTTATCCATTCTTGAAAACCTTTTCATTTGCAGCTATTGCCAGATCTTTTCCAGCTGCTGCAATGAAGTCTATTTACTTCATGCAAGTTCTTTTTCAGTGGTTCTTTTAAGTATCCCTATTCTCAAAAATTCGGTGTGATGAGTTCTAGTAATACTGAGAGAGCCACAGTATTTTCTTTGTGTTAGCGGTGAGGATGGGATTTTTCTTCCCAGATTTTATCCATTTCTGAGCTGTGTGCCCCTATATGTGCTGACTCAGTAAAAGAGGGATCTAATATAGATGATACGATTTGTTCTCTGGGGACTTGGCCACTTTAAAGGAACCTAGGCACTGCTTCGCACCAGAAGCCTAACCTGTAATGTTTCAATGCTAGATATGCACTACTTTTACCTAATTAAGAAAAGACTTAGTGAGTAATTAGTTTTAACACATGGCATTGAGTGAAGTAATTGCCATCAAAATGAGGTAAAATAACTTCTTTAATTAAAAGAAATGCACACACACAACTACATAAAATTGGAAAAAACAAGCAGTACAGCAAGTTATTTGAGTAAGGGCCTCTATTGTCTGGACACTTGCTGTTCTGCTGGGCTGCTTTTACAATCTGCCATATGTAAATATCCCTCAGGCATTGGTCCAGTTCCAATTCGGAATCTTCTAGCTTCTGTTCACTTAAGATACAGTATCTTTCCCTAACTACATTTTTATGTGTTATTAATAATGTTGCACTTTATGTAGTGGTATTTTCTCAGCCTGGAATAGTATTTATGTTCCTTAAATTACTTTCTAAAGGCCATAACTGAAATGGATGGTTGATTGCCTACCTTTAACTGGGACAGTCTCAGGAGAAAAATCACGCCCTTGTAAAGAGGTTTAATCTTAATGCCAGGAGATTCAGATTCAAAACCACTTTTTTCTAAGCCTGATTCAGCAAAGTCCTTAAACATGGGACTTAAAACCCAGAGAGGTTATTAGGTGTATTTGAGTTTGGCTGCTGGTCAGCTGCTTACGAATTTTGCTGAATCGAAGGATTCACACTGAATCCTAATTTCCTATTGGAAGAGATAGTAGCAGAGCAAAGTAATATTCTGTCTGAACAGCAGTGGCAAGATAGAAGGGAGACTTTCTTCCATGGCAAGAGTAGAATAAAGACCATTCTTGGTACTAGTCCACTGATTCTAGCAACCTGTAGGCAAAGTAATGTATTTCAAAACTGCAGAGGAACGTGGTGTTCATTGGTTTCTTTGGCTTAAATGGTGATGAGGAGAGGAGCCTAGAGGCTAGTGAGGGAGACAGAAAAGCAAATGAAGAGTCCTTGTGTGACACCTGTGATTTTCACATATGGGGTTCAGATCTCAGGCAGGCCAAGGGCGAAGCAGTTCACAAAGCACTTTGTGTAAGAATCTTGGCTGGACTCTGGTGAAATCATTAGTTCCCAGCTATGTGCAAGGCTTATTAAGACTGTTCAAGTGGTTGAATGCTTTGCCAAAACCAGGACCCATGTAATTGGCAGACTTGCTGTCATTTAGCAGACAGTAACAGCAAGGGGAAATAAATTAACAACTCATACCTTACCCCACCTCAATTCAATGTCTCTTACTGGGTTAAACAGCACATCTATCAGATGTTGTCAGAGCCATCCATCGTTCAATATCATCTCCATTTCCAATGAACATTTGACCCACAGTCATCTTTGGGAGAAGTGTACCTATAAAGCACTTTCAGCTCTCATCTTCCAGCATAAACGTGCTTCTCTGGGGGAGACAAGGTGTTTTGGGGTTTGTTCGGTATTTTTTCTTTGGGAAAAATCAATTCTATTGCAATTAAAATGGGCTGGATTCTAGCAAACCCTAGAAATCTGAAACGTTCAGAGCTGAAAGTGTTAAGAAAACCAGTCATGTTGAGCTTTGTGCTTGGTGTTTACTGTTGGTGTTGATGTCGCCTCCTTTTTCCATCTCCAAGAAGAAGAACCAGTAGAAAGTCCGATGGCTGTGGAAGTGAAACCTGCTGCTCTTCCTGGGACGCAACTGGGGAAAGAGCATGGGCCCACTGAGCCTTCAGAGCAGGCCAAGGGCCTCGGTGAGGGTCGGCCGGATTTTGGTTTGGAGGCCACAGTGTGTCACGAAGACAAAATACCAAGTGTGGCATCCAGCAGGGAGAGCCTAACAGTTGTGGGGGAAATGCCTCTGAAAGACACATCCCCTTCCTTGGCTGCGGAAGGTGTGTCCTCCGTAGGATTGCATGTGTTTGCTGCCAGTGAATCTTCCAGCTTTCTCCGGTGCTTTTCAAGGCTGCTTCATTTCCTGTTCTTTCCATTTATTAGTATGACCGCTCTTGTTATTATGCTTGAAGAGTGTGTAGCAGATACTGTGGTTGCATAGGAGCTGTATGACAACATGGTTTCCCGCTGCTGCAGCTGATTCCTTTTTTTTCTTTTTACCTTGCCATGATACAAGTGCTTTGCAGCTAAGCCGATTGCTCTGCGCAAGCCTTTTGCCCCCCATCTCAGACATGTTTGCCAGTCACATTGCTGATGTTTGTATATTTTTTTCTTTTTGGTGCGGAGATTCATCTGCTTTTCTTTCAAAAAGTAGATTTAATGAATTTAACTATGACATAAAGAGGCTTGAATTGTAGAAATGTTTTCATTTGCAGCGTGCAGTATATTTCTGTGTGTGTGCTTCTGTGCATTCTGGTTTAGCTTCCCTAAAGCTATTGCTTCTTATGTCATATCCTTGCCATTCATTGCAGCCCACCCCTTCTCCCTCGATCATTGCAAAAACTCTTTTTTTTTTGCGTGTCTTACCTAATTACAAAGGTTTAACCTGACCGGAGTGCCCTGCTCAGACAAAGCCCCATCAGCTGCACTGGGATATTCACCTTCTTCATGAAGTTTAGGATGGGGTGTAAAGCATCAAGTTCTGATCTGCTTACTGTGACAAAGTATTTACTCCAAGCAATTGTCTTTCAGTACACGAGAACTAGGCTTCAAGATTGTCCTTTTCATGGCATTTCTCGTCGGTCAGCATAACAAGGTGTAAAGACACATTGCATGGAGTAGTGACATAGCCACCCATTCAATACCCGGTGAAGAAGGGCTGCATCTGGGAAGCTGACTTTACATCAGACCCACCTAAAGAAAATTAAATTCCCTTGGCAGTCAGAATATCTTTAGATGCCATTGGTGTTGTACATTGGTGCTAGAGTAAAAGGCACCATAGGATACGCAAGAAAAGTCAGTATCTAGTTAATCCATGTCTGTGAAAGAAGGATGACATCTGCTCAGTGGCTTTGTTTCTATACTTCATGGGGCCTGCAAGTCATGAAATGTAGAAACACAAAGGATTAAAAAGTACCGGAGGTGTAGAATTCTGTTTCCTTTCTACCTGCAGAATGTAGAATGGCAGTAGCTTTTTTAACTTTGCATGCAAATATTTAAAGAATGACCTGTAGTTTGATAGTAGTTATTCTGACAAATTCATATTCATCTGAGTCAGAAAATGGCTCCAAGGACTTGAAATCAGATGTAAGGAGATTCAGATTTGGCCCAATGCTCGTTGTAATAAGTTTTAGAAAGAAAAACTTGTAAATGCTTACTTACAGACTAATGCAGAAAGTATTCTGCTGTATTTCTTTTTCCCATATGATAGGAATCATCATTTTCCGAAGGATATAAAAAAAAAAATATGGTATTAATGATTAATAGAGTACATATAAAAATAACTAGGTAGTATTCCATACAAATATAGTGACATGTTGTAAGTGTAGTATTTTCAGTTTTAAATCAACTTAATTAGGGCTGTGCTACAGTCAGTGAAACATGGCTGGTATTCAGTTACAGCTGAAGATGACTGGCCATGCTGGAGACCTCTGAGTCTAGTACTGTTCATAGCTCTGCTGCCCCTTTACACTTTCATGGCAGCAGTGAGATTTTTCCATTTGCCAAGGGATGAATGTCGAAAGCTGATGCAGCTAAAACAGTAGCTTCTTCTGACATGCCTCTTGTATATATTACTGCTTTAGCTTAGCACACGTGTGGTTGAGAAAGGTAAAATAAATACAGAAATGTGTTTGTTTAAAAGTAAGCAGCACACAGTGATACTGTTTGTTGGACTTAATCTTACGAAACTTAGAAAAGCAAACTAACATAAGCCTCAGAGTACAGCAGAAATTGCCAGTGAAGTGAGGATTATTTCTGGTTTGTTTTTGTATACAAACAGTGAAGATGAAGTTGTCACGTGAAATGATCTAATTTCAGTTGCCACTTTTACTTGTGTGCAAGTCACATTTTCACTGCAAAACATCATATATTGAAAGGAAACTAGGATTTAATGCTTTAAAGCAGATTTCTGTGTGGATAGCCTTGCTGCATGTTCGCATATTTTTCCCTCTCCATCATTCATACCAAGATGTTCTCTACACCACATGACTGCCTGCCTGTAAGTGCTTTGAATAATTTTATGATAAAACCCAAACAAACTACTTCAGATTTAATTGCAGCCACGAAGATGGAATTCCATGTCCAGGAGGGCACGTGCCCTTTCACAACAGATCCATTAGACACAAAGCGACAGGAGTCTGGAAAAGACAGTAAGACTGAGCAACCTAAACATGATGCCTTAGTTCCACAGCCAGCAAAAACAGAGGCTACAGATAAAAAGGATTCACAGAGCAAAGACAGAGAAAAAATGCCTTCACCTCTATCAGAACAGATCTTGGAAACTGATTCACAGAAGAAATTGGAAGCCAGTTTTGCAGAACCTCCTGCCAAGCTTCCTATTTCTCAAGTGCAAAAGGACTTGCCATCTGAATTGCCTAAAGGGAGCAAAACAGAAGAAAGGACTGCAGAGAAGCCCTCATCATCCAACCAAGTTCTATCTGTGACATTTAAAGATGACCTTAAAGATGTCCAAGATCTTGCCGTCAGCCGTGATGGAAGTTCTCTGTTCACTTCAGAACCCAAGACAGAAGCAGCCAAAAGTGAACTGCCTTCAGACCCATCTCTTGCTATCCCCCAGGATCTTCCCCTCAAAGACAGTGCCAAAATAAAACCTGAACCTGCTGACCAACTGCTTGCCAAAGAACTTGCTGAAGATGAACAGGCCCACAGAGGCATGACCCTAACTCTGCAAGAAGTCTCAACAGTAACTGTAGATGGCCTGAAAACACCAAGCACACAGAAAATTCCTGCATGGGGGCAGGAAAAGGACATGACCAAGGATGAGACTGATGAGGAAGAAAGGTATGACTTCTATGATAAAGGGGAGGCTCGAATATTAGATGATGCTAAATTTACCACAAAGACTGAAGTTGAGACACTTCCCCCACACAAAGCAGACTTCCCAAAGGATGGTGAAACTAAAATGTCTGATCTTTTCAAGGCAGAAAAAGAAATGGACCAAAGTGGGCTCCAACCAACAACAGCTACGAAAAAGGACGTGCAGCCAAGCACAGAGGTGTCCCCTGGCAAATTAAGCCATGTGCCGATCCCTGAGAAAACAACTGAGCACCCTGATACACCACAGTTATCCCAAATAACAGAGAAGAGCCCTGAGGCACCAAGTTCAACCGCTGATAAGGCTCCTGCTCCAGAGCCTTCTCAAGAGAAAGATGTTAAAAAAGAAACCAAGGAGGATAAGGAAGGTGTTTCGGCTACTCATGAAATGAAAACAGAAGTGGATCGATCGGGAATGTCCAAGTATTTTGAAACCTCTGCACTGAAAGAGGAAGCCTTCAAAACAGACACTCTGAAACAAGGCAGCGATTACTATGAGCTAAGTGACACTAAAGAGAGTGCGTATGAGACTTACCAGGCAGATCGTCTGATACCTGAAGACAAAGAGGATGAGGAGGAAGAATTACAGATGGAATTGGATCAGCAGCAGAGTATGCCTGCTCGTGAAATAGGGTACAGTACCCTGGCTCAGAGCTATACACCAGACAAATCTGAAGAACCAAGTTCCCCAACAGAAAGAATGTTCACTATTGATCCCAAAGTCTATGGGGATAAGCGAGAGCTCCACAGCAAAAATAAAGATGACCTAACTCTGAGCAGGAGCCTGGGACTTGGGGGCAGATCTGCAATTGAGCAGAGAAGTATGTCTATTAACCTGCCCATGTCCTGCCTGGATTCTATAGCTCTGGGATTTAGCTTTGGCCGTGCACATGATCTTTCTCCCCTTGCATCAGATATTCTAACTAACACTAGTGGGAGTATGGATGAAGGCGATGACTACTTGCCAGCAACCACACCAGCAATGGAGAGGGCCCCTTGTTTCCCCATTGATAGCAGAGAAGAAGATGAGCACACTGAAGAAGAAAAAGCAATGACAGAAGAAAAAGTCCAGCCTGAGACCTTGGCTGAATCGCCTTTCCCAGCCAAAGACTATTACAAAAATGGTGCTGTCTTGGCTCCTGACCTGCCTGAAATGTTAGATTTAGCAGGGACAAGATCCAGAGTAGCATCGGTGAGTGCAGATGCTGAGGTGGCACAAAAGAAGTCGGTTCCTTCTGATGCTGTGGTGGAAGACAGCAGCACTGCCCTGACATCTGTGACAGATGAAAACCATGTAACTCTAAAAGCTGAAAGTCAGCTAGAAGACTTGGGCTACTGTGTTTTCAATAAGTACACAGTCCCGCTCCCTTCTCCAGTGCAGGACAGTGAGAATTTAACAAGTGAAACCTGTCCCTTTTACGAAGGCACAGATGAAAAAATGAGACGCAGCCTAGCTCCTGACCTGTCTTTAATAGAAGTGAAGCTGGCAGCAGCTGAAAAATCCAAAGAAGAATTCCTCAGTGAAAAAGACTTGACGCAGCATGTGACTGGTGAGTCTTTTCTAGCGAGGGACTTCGAGCAGGAGAAAAAAGAGAAGCTCGATACTGTGTTGGAAAAAAGTGAAGATCAAGCTGACTTTAAGGAGGGCTATCCCATTAAAGATTCAGAGTCAGAGAAGGCAAAACCTGAGGCAATCTTAGAAATGAAAGAGGAAGCCGTGTCTGATAAAGTTCATGTCCCCGATGATACCACCTACGACAGAATATTAGCTACACAGGTAACAGCAGAAAGAGATGCTATTTCTTTCTTGATGGAGAAGGAGAAGGAGAAGACTCTCAGTGTTGTTCCTGAAATAGCTGAGATAGAAGCTCCAATAAAACCAGACTACAATGCCATAAAGCATGATATGGAAGTGGCTGCCAGGAGAGCTGACCAAGAATATCAGAGTCAGCTAGATAGTAGGATCAGTGAGGTTGATTCTCTCCCTTCAGGGAAGGACAAAGCCCCTGTTAAAAAAACAGAGCCTGAGCCCAAAGAAACTCAACAGAAAGATCAGATCATCTTGTCCAGAGAAGCAAAGGATGCAGATTTACTTTCCAAGACCGAGCCTAGTTATGTGAAGGACAGCACCAAACTGTCTGAAACAGAAATTAAGGAGAAAGTAGCTAAGCCTGATCTGGTGCATCAAGAGGCAGTTGATAAAGAAGAATCTTATGAATCTAGTGGAGAACATGATCAAACCCAAGAAAGTTTGAACGGAGAACCCTTGAAACAGGAGGATATCAAAGGAGAAGCTCCAAAACCATGTGTGTCTGAGGAAGAGGTGTCTACGCAGTTGCCAGCAAAGGAACCTTCCACGGAGCTCCTCCTTCCAAAAGCTGAGCCTCCCCAGGAAGAGCCTGCTGAGATTCAGATGGAGAGCATCCCACAGCCTCCAGAGGAAACTGAAAAGATTCCTGATACAGTTGTGAAACCTACAGAGGTCCAAACATTGCTGCCATCAGAAGTGACAGCTGAGGCCACAAAAAGAGAAGACCACGAGGAAGAGAAGTTAGGTGGACAAGAAGAGAAAGAAGAGGATAAACGTCATCTTGTATCAGAAGTACCCCCAGAAATGGACTTTGGGAAACCCACTGATGAAGAATTGCTAGCCAAGGTTTGCCCAGAAGCACTGCCTGAACTGAAAGGCATTATTGAATCAGTTGTGACAGTAGAGGATGACTTTATCACAGTGGTGCAGACAACAGTTGATGAGGGCGAATCTGCTTCTCACAGTGTACGTTTTGCTGCTACCCAGCAGGAAGACATCGAAGCAGTGGACTCCCAGGCTGAAGAGGAGCTGGAGATTGAGGAAGTGGTTGACATTCAAGCTGAGCCGAGGGAGGGCTCCCCAGAAGCTCCTGCTTCACCTGAGAGAGAAGAAATCTTGCTCACTGACTACAAAACGGAAACGTGTGATGATTACAAAGATGAAACAACAGTTGATGACTCCATCATGGACACAGACAGTCTCTGGGCAGATACTCAAGGTGTGCATTATCCTTTTTGTTTTGTGTGTTTAATATTTTTGCTTCCAAACCGTAATGATCAAAAAGCAAAATTATTGTAGCTGTAGTAATAATTTCAGCATGTTTAAAGAATGGTAGAATTGCCTACCTTTTTTTTGTTTTTTTTTTTTTAATTAATCCATCTGCTCAGTCTTAAATTATTATTTTACCCTGCATCCACTGCAGTATTGCTAACATTTGTTACTAATCTTCTGTTTGTTGTTACAATGTGCTCTGATCCTACAGATGATGATAGGAGCATCATGACTGAACAGTTAGAGACTGTTCCTAAAGAGGAGAAGGCAGAGAGAGAATTGCGAAGATCATCTCTCGATAAGCATAAAAAAGAGAAACCTTTTAAAACTGGGAGAGGCAGGATTTCTACTCCTGAAAGGAAAATAGCTAAAAAGGAACCTAGCACACTCTCCAGAGATGAAGTGAGAAGGAAAAAAGGTTCATTTAACACTCCCTCTTACTATATATATATATATATATATTTAATTTTTTTTTGTAGTATCGTGCAGTATTGTTAGGTTACTCTGTTGTAGTTGATGTGCATCTTAACACTGTTATGTGCGGTGCTATTTAATGAGACACTGTACAGTTATGTGAAAAGCCATGTGCAAGGCTCACTGCTCCACCAGTCTCAGTTCAGGAATCCCCACAGAGTTTTGGGAAGCACATCTGAGATGAATGCAGCAGTGCTCCCATCTTCCAACTTAGCTTGGATCACCTCAGTAGAAACAGTGCTTAGAGCTGCAGTTGTGGAGCAGTGGGCCTGCCACTTGATGTACTGTATGAAACTTTGCTGTTTTTTTCCTGATTATGTGTTTTTGTGTTTTCTTGTCCATAGCAGTGTATAAGAAAGCTGAACTTGCTAAAAAAACTGAAGTTCAGGCCCACTCTCCCTCCAGGAAAATCATTTTAAAACCTGCTATCAAATATACTAGACCAACTCATCTCTCCTGTGTTAAACGGAAGCAGACAGGTGACTGCATTCTGTTCAGTTATGCAATGTGGCTGGCAAACATAGACTTTTTTTTTAATCTCATGGCTATAGCAGCTTTTCTCTTTTTTAGTTATTATTCCTCCAAGACTATCTTCACAAATAGTATTGCTTTTTTCATTTTTTTTATCATTTTTTTTTTCTTTCCTGGTATTTGTTTATTTAAAGGAGGTCATGATCATGTGTGCTTGTCATTGCTTGGACTTCCAAGTGCTGTGGTTGTAACTTGGCATCATGCTTATAGTGTGTTGTTCTAGGAATCTGCTCACCATTTTCTTCTTTTGTTTCCTTCTTTTCTTATGCCTTTTTTTTTCTGGTGGGAAAATGTTGACAGCTTAAACCATGGTATGCATTTCCATTATTTTGCTTTACTCTCCTGCATAATGAGAAGTGTTTCAGACTTATATTTTGTTGATCGATGTTATCTGCCTTTACACTTTCCACTCTGTTACTGATGTTTATGCTGTACAGTCAAAATCCACAGGGGAAATCCATCCACATGCAGCATGAAGCTGAGAGAGAAGGAATCTGGACTCACTACAATTGCATTTCAGTCAAAAAATTAATATTTGGTAGGGGAAAGTGAACTAAAGTTTAATATAGATTAAAACAACTCTTTTTCTATATGTTTTACTATTTACAGCAGTTACAACTTCTTGTATTCTTGCAAAAGACCAGAGGGAGGATTCAGTAAGTGTTGGAAATGGGGAGTTGATTGTTCATGTCACAAAAAGCGTGTTGGCTTTGTAGCATTCTAACTCTGACTGCATTTCTGCAGTTATGTGGTCAGTGCTGTCTTGCCTTCTCATACTCTAACTCTTCTTAACTATTCTGGCCCAGCAGCATCTCACAGACCTGAGTCATCCCAGTAGTCTTGCATAAGAAAACCTGCTCAGTGCCTTGAGTGAATGTGTGCTGCCTGGCAACAGTCAAAGCTTTTTTCTTCCCCTCTTAATGAACAAAAATATCTGTAAAACTGTTTCACCATGCTCACTGTTGCTGGAAAACTCAGTTATCCCTTATTGTCTTCTACCTCCCCTCTTTCTGCTTAATGAGGGGAGTTGAAGAGACGCCATGTGCAAGTTTGTCATATAGCACTGCACACCAAGAGTGTAGGCACCATATGTTAACATATCCCTGAGCCTAAACCAGTCGTTCAGTTCTTTCAGGGATCAGGAACTTAGAGGGGCATTGTTTCACTCATGTTTTCTTTTATGTAAAACATAGCACCGTTTCTTGAAGCCAGTTTCAGCTGTCAGTACATCCTATTTGGACTGGTCCTCTCAACTTGTTTGATACTTGGCCAATGGGGTCCCATCAGAACACTGCAGTCTGTGCACCTTAAGTAAATTCCAGTTAGTTAAAACCTCAGTGTTGCCTTTTCTGTGTCTTCAAAATGAAACGCATCCAATCATAAGATACAAGAGTCTACAACAGGAAGTTAGTATTTGCTCAGATTTTCTACATAGTGGGCCAGGAAATTAAGTCATTCTGTTCCTCTGAATAACAGAAAATTCCCATGTCACCGTGAGGTAAGTGCTGACAAATACTGGTAACGTATACTGCCATATTTTCCAAGGAAGGACTGTTGTTTGAGATTCATCCTTAACATTTCAACAAGAAACTGTGTGGTCAAGTCCAAGGAAATCTTTGAAATTGAAATCTTTGCCGTTACTGATGTAGTTATGGGAGGGAAACCCCGCTTTGACTCATGCTTTGTGGCTGTGAGTTGCTGCTGCTGTTGTGCCATCAGAGGCGTGGTTTTGGGGCAAGGCCAGGCCAACTGCTTGGCTATGAGCAGGAGTCAGCACGTGATCCACTTCTGTTGCAAGTCTTCAGTTGTGCTGTCCCTTAAGAGGTAAAAGATGCTTGTTCTGTACTTAAACTGCTAGCAGACACTAGAGATCTTTTGTTCAGATGGACAAGTTGTGGTGCTATCAGGTAAGTCAGCAGGAGCAGCACAGCTATGCTTTCCACTTCAGAGTGGTGGCTGATTAGGTCTCAATACCAAAGGAAGGAGGAAAGATATAATTTGTGATCATTTTGAAGAGATGCAGAACTGACCAAAGCCAGCCATAGCGGATGGGGTAAAATGTGATACTGAAGGACTATGCTGCACTTATCACTGGTACAAATCCAAAAGTATAGTATGTAGCTATACGTTTTTTTTCCTCCTCATAAGCTTTCTTTCCTACTTGTTCAGTTTAGAAGGAGATTATTCTAAGAGGACCCAGCTACTGAGTGGGATGTGTGGCAGGAAACCAGAAATCCCCTCGCCATGCTTAGAAACTGCACAGAGAGAGGAGAAAGTTGAATGTCTCTGTCCTGTACAATGTGTTAGGGCTGCTGTAACAGCCCAATCCTGTTGGGATTACTACTAGAGGATGTCATGTGTGCCCACTGTCTTGCTTCTGCATTTTCTAAGGATCCCTGTGGCAGAGATGCCAAAGAATTTGATATCTAGATAGATTTTAGGCAGTGAATTAGTTCTAGAACAGCATCATTAGGGTGAAACTAATAGCCTGCTTTCTGAAAATCTCCCCTATTCCACAACTTTGTAAGGATGGAATCCGACCCAGAGAGGAAAATCTTAAGTTATATTGCATCAGAGAAATGAAATAGTGAATTAATATACTTGATGTCCCAGGTGTAATTTGAATGCTAAAGTGTGAGAGCTTGGTTGAGCTATGACGCACTGACCATAGTGGCTGACCGCACTGACCATCCAACTGGGATGGTAATTCACCGGACAATCTCTCTCTTTCCAACTGGAATTTTGGCTAGTATTTTAAATAGGGGTGATTTCAGCACCCTTTATTTTGAAACTTTCATTAGTGGATTACTTAAGGGAGCCTGATTTTTACAGGACAGTTGTTCAGTGCTCTCTGAAGATCAGTTGGTAAGGGGTATCTTGGGACGAACCTTCGGAACTAGAGCCTCTTTTAGTTGGCCTTGGAACTTTTTACTGTGATTCTTAGATCGCCAGGTACATGAATACAAGAGCTGGATTTCTTTGACATATGTAAAGTACAATTTTAACTCAAGTACAATGAACATAAGACATTTTTAGGATGAGTTCACTGAGACATATTCACAAGGTAATTGCTTTGCATTGTAGTTCAAAGGTATATGAGCGTTCTAACAAGTATGCTAAGTGGAAATGCTTATTATTGCTGTTATTTTTAACCATCAAGTCTTTCTTTGGGTCTCTCAGCAGCAGTTGGTGAAACAAACCAGGCTCCTGGTGTATTTAAACAAGCAAAGGAAAAACTCTCAGTGAGTAAAATAATCTTATTGTCTTTCTTAATAATCCTCCTTTGTGCTCATTTCAGATCATTTTGTGTTAATTCAGTTCTTCATTTTTTCCATTTAGAAATTGTTTTCCACGTTCATTATTCATTTAAAAGGGTAATTAAAATCACCTTTCCTGGATAACAGTACCAACTAGCTCTGGATTACAGTCCCAGATAGTAGATGATGACAATTTGCAGATGTAGAAAGGCACACAGGCTCCAAACTGCAGGGACTGGATGCTGTTCAGCACTTTGAGCCAGGTCATCCTCTGGGATAACCTGTGTCCCTTGAACCTTTCCACAGTACACAACTCAGTATACTGACACCTTGCTTGATTGCTGCCTAGGCAGAAACCCTCGTCCAGGACTCACTAGATGTATTCTGATACACTGTTAACTTATCTGTGCATTCTGTGACTGTCATACCTGTGTATAAATGATGGACCAGTAGCATTTTGTATGTGAATAAGAGCTTCCTACTTGACTGTTGTGGACTGCTAATTTCTGTGTTTTAACCTGACAATTACGTGTCCTGTCTTTAGCTGCTCTGCAGCCTGTACTGCTTTCTGCATTTACTTATTGTCTGTTGAGTGCCTCTCTTCCTGCTCCCATGCTGACCCGATGCTCTTGTCCCACCACTCTAAAATCCCCAGGAGACCAACCTTCCTTCACTATCCCTTACACAGATCTTTTCTACACGACACTGACACGTGCTGACTCACATCTGCAGCACAAACCTTTGTCATTGTTTGCCATCATTCACAACACATCAGTTCCTTACGATTATCCTATATTTCCTACTGTATTCCATGGCTGATTTGTTTCGCTTACCTAACCAGACTGTCATTTCTTTGGGAAGCTGTCTTCAAAGTGCTACATGTTGCTTATTAACTCTAAGAAACGATTAATGATGATAGCAGCATAACTGATCTGAGGCTGTGAAGGAGTGGTGAAATTTAGAAGCCATGACTAAATTCCAGTCTAGGATTTCACGTGATTTTAGAGGCCTGACTCATTTCAGCTTATGACTGGGAAACTGCTAGAACTTCTTTACTAGTTCTATAGGAAGATTTTTAGTCTTAGTCAACAGTTATTCTCTTTTCTCAGAGGGACAGTAAACACTTATCCAAAAGAAGTCAGTACTAGCACATTTTCAGACTCGTCTGTGTTCATGGAGGGCTTTAAGGACAAGCACAGCAAAGCCATTCTCTGAAATGATCTGCTTTCTGGGCACCTTTCTTATCCCTGTCTTTTACTCTGTGCCAAAGATCAGAAGTTTAGTCCCTGCTTACCTTCTCTCCCTGTTGCTTCCCTACTCTGATTACTATCTTCACTTTTCTGGATGTTTTCTGTTTTACGCCTTGTCCTCTCTTTTCTTGTTGTTGTCCTTTCTTCCTGATTTTCATCTTCTTTATCGTTCAAGTGCGGCCTTTTCTTCTCCACTGGTAATGTTAGATCATCCAACCCAGTCAGTTTGTTATGCACCTTCAAACTGCACTTCTCTTACTCCTTTGCATAAGAAATTCAGGAAAGGCTTCACAGTTCCATCTGCTGGAAGGAGCTGTATGCCCATGTTTGTGAGATACTGACCATGCCTTAGGAGAGCCTCTGAAATAAATTGCTTCAGCAATCCCTGATTTACTGTGTCTTCATCAACTTCAAGGTTACATAGGTCTTTTTCCTGTGGACAGCTGGCACGTCCTACAGTATGAATTATAGCAGTTGTTAAAGGTAATGTATTGCTAGAGTAATGAGAATAGCTCTCTGGGTAAAGCACAGGCAGGGACTGAAGTATTTGGTTTCTTTGCTTGCTCTGCCAGTCTTGAGCATCTCACCAAAATCCGTCTGGACCAGATTGGCCTACTATTACTGATGCTAAAAAGTGCTTTGCCTGCCAAGTGAGGGGATCCAGGCTGCAGTAAGCCCAGAGCAATGTATTAGTTGAGGATCACATGTTTTCCCCAGGTGTTCTATTGAAAGATCTCGGTCTTGTCCAACTTCAGTGTCCTCATTAGATGCACAAATTTGTGGAGGACAGTATTCAGTATGAGTGAAAAGGATTTTTCAGTTGTGTTGGAGTCTTGTTGCGCGTGATCATCAACTTGAGAACATTTGGAAATGACTGAATTAACATTTGGGCCTGCTTAGTTATATCCCAAATTCAGAAAATCTGGCGGACATTACTCACATGTCTGCTTTTTGGAACTGCCCAAGACAGCTGTGCTTTCACATCAATAAAAACCTTAGTGTTCTTACAAGTAAGAGACCAAATTTTCTCGAGTGGATGATACCTATAAACTCAATTGTTACAAATCAGTTAAAGCCTGAAGAAGCCCTTGTTGTGACAGAGACACATAGTGTTCAGATTCTGTTTAAAATAATTATTTTTAATATTAATAGATAAATATGTTGCAAAGTTCATGCTAGTAATACATTCTTTCAAGGAAAGCACTCCCATCCTTTGATCTGGTTTCTGATCTTGGTTAATAGAGCTACTGGATGTGGATGGTGATGTCCACAGCTTTGAAGTCCTCAAAGCTTTGTAGTAGGACTGGAATTATGCAGTTCTGAAGCTCTTAATCATGTGGATTAGTACATAAGCACTATTAGCACATACACATACATTCAGCATCCCAGCTTCCATTTTACATAGGCTAGATACATAGCCTAAACCAGATGCCATTTTATAGTAGCCTGAACAACTCTAAGTGATGTTTCATCCCACTTTCATCTCATTTTCTAAAACAAAACAAAAAGAATAAATAAACCAACTTGAGGAGTAATTCATGCACTTTTTCTGAACATTGAGTGAGTCTAGATGACTGACTTAGATCAAATGCCAAATTTTTCTTGGTGTAGTTCTCTACCAAATTCCAGGGGGACTGCTCTGATGAGTAACTTCACGCTTGTGTGAATACAGGTAGAATCAGGACTCTATTGCCAAGATAACAGCCTTGCAATTGTTCTTTGTAGTATCAGTTACAGAAGAAAGCAAAGTGTTGCCTGGACAAATAGCCCTATTCTTTTTCAAGGGAGTTTCTTTTGGTGGAGCAGCTGGATGCTCCTAAGCATCGACAGAGAATTTGCTGTCTACTCTATTGATGTCTAATTGTTCTTTCAATGGAATATTAGCATTATTAAGAATTAGAGCAGTATCTGATCTTGATGACACATCTTGTCAGCCTTCCAAGCACAGCAAACTTTCATCATCCCAGAACTCCACATTGTCAATACAGTTTTACATTCAGGATCTTTGTGTGTATGCAGTGGCATAAGAAGCACTGCTGTTAGGTCCCTCTGACATCTTGGGAATACTGCTGTATTTTCAAGATTCCCATCGTTTTACTCGAGTGTAGCCTGGAGGGCTATATGACAAATGCACAAGTTACTTTTAAAAGGCCAGGGCATCATGGTGTGCCTGTAGTTTTGCACTTGTTTCTAATGAAGCCAGCCAGCAGTTGTACCAGCTAAGTGCCATGCCTGGTACAAGTTCTTGTTTAATAACACATGGAAAAAATAGCATTTGCACAAAAAGGCACCCTCTAGAATCAGTAAATCTCTCCAGACACAGATGGTTTCAGTGGAGCAACAGAGATCTAAAACTTTGCCTGTCAGAACTGCATAATCACCGTTACTAGACACAGGAAAATAATTAATTCATTGCTTGGCATTTTATTTTGGTCCATGTTGCATGTGTTTTTCTTTTGTCCAGCTTCATGTTGTGTTTTCTTTTGTTTTCTTGTGACTAGACTGCTTCTTTGTCAAAGATTCCTGCCTCAAAGTCTAGAGCAAAGTCATTGCTTCCTCCAAGACCCAGCTCAGCTTGCTCATTAACTACTAAAAGGGCCACTTTTCTCGATACAGACAGTTATTATGTACGGCCCTCCTCAGCAGGCCCAAGAGACTGCTTGTCCTACTCAAAATCAGATGCTAAGGTAAGGTAGCAGAGTTGGTAGAGAGAGTGAGCTTGGAGATGTGTAGGTAAATTATGTGGATTACATTCTCTCCCCACTGTGTCTGAGTAATTATCTGTGAAGTTTACCTGGAATTAATTACATCCAGTGGCAGGAGAATTGATTACCAGCCTACAAGATTTGTGCTACAAAGTGGATACGTACAAAACAACATCTCCAGAGGAAACGTAAGCAAAATAAATAATTAGCAGGTCATACCTTCTTTCTGTTGGGTATGGATGTTATTTCCTTGACTGCTAAGAAGTTATGTCCATTTTGCACATGGGTAAGTGGCAAAAACAGTAGTAGTCATTTGTCCTGCAGGAAAAGTTTTAAAAAAGGAATTTTCGACCAGTTAATACTTTCTGAAAACAAATTCAGTCCCCATGGAGGAGGGTGCCGTTCTTATCACCTTTAACAAGGGCAGAAGCCAAATTCTTTGTACGTGGGACCATGCTGAAGAAGTTGCAGTTCATTCCAGCTTCCCCATATTTACTTTGCACTTGCACTGCAAATCTATCTGATGCCGAGTTGGTGACTGTTATGTTGTGTAAAAGCTGTTTTCACCATGCATAGTGTGTCTCATACTGTTTGGGACCATCGTTACATTTAATCATCATCAAATCATACATCACCTAATAATGTGGTGTGCGGTGCATCTGTATTGCAGTTACATTGCAGGTGAATTCCCATGAAAATTTGACACCTGAACAGCACAAGTGTTCTTCTACTTCTGATTTGTACTAAAACAATACACCAACCAAGCCAATTCCTCATTAACAACCAGACAAGGAACCTGTCCATGTTTAGATCTAGGAGTATCTGCGTCTGTCTTAAGTAGCTCAGCAGCTTATGTGTTGTTGAAAATGATATCTATGATGGCTTCAGAGGAATTAGTTCACAATCCAGTACTCCACTAGCATCCTCTGCAGTCACTGAGAAATACAGGTTTAATTTCAGTAGGAGTAAAATCAGCCACTGATACATGCTTATTCAAATCCATAGGAAGAGAAAGCTTTGTCTGCTGCAGAGGGAGGGTTTATCTTGAAGTAGCTACAGTGAGATTGGCAAGCTACCACATTTGGGGAACTTGGAGGGAGCTCTCTCCCCAAGAACAAAGTTCTGTCCACCTTGGGCACCGGGGGCAGCCCCCTCCTATGAGTGTTTTCATGCAGTAAAGAAGCACCAAGGAGCTAATCAGAGCATGGGAAGTGGCTAGATCCTCACAGCTTCCTGTGTCATTAAACTGTGTCCGTAGGATGAGCCTTCCCCTTTGTGTATAGGTTGAGAGAGATTACAATCCAGAGCGTGATGTTTTGAAAACTAAACCTTCCTTTCTTATTTTGCTGCTATTAGGATGGAGTAAGCAAGAGTCCTGAAAAGCGTTCCTCTTTACCAAGACCTTCCTCCATCCTTCCTCCTCGAAGAGCTGTATCAGGAGATCGAGACAGGGAGGAGAACTCTCTCTCCCTCACAACATCCCTCTCTTCAGTACGACGGACCACCCGTATGTTTTTGCTTTTTTTTTTTTGCATATTAGCCCTTTCCTGCTGCCGTGGGTGTCTGCCACTTACAGAGGGCAATACAAAATATTCTAAGAAATCTTGGAAAAGTGAATCTAATAGTTAAGATAATTAATTTGTTGTTTCGTAGCAGTGATCTTCCTGTGTTCTACTCTAGTCCTGGGGCAAAAGCACCCTCAAATGAGATGTTAGATAGTAGAGTGACTCACTGGGGGAAATTAGGATAGTAAAATAGCAAGGTCTTTTTGTGAGGACTCATTCTATCAATTCACAGTCTGAAAGAAACTCCAAGGCAAAAAAATAAGTACCAAATATTCCCAAAACTTTTCCCTAGATTTGCTTTTAGTGTACGCCTCAGAAACTGTATGTGATTTCCTGCTTTTCGGTAGGCATTCATCTGGCTTTAGAAATCAATTGCTTCCCTTTATAAGAGAGCCTAAGGAAATGGATCATTAAATTCAATTAAAAAAAAAAAAAAAAAGTCCTTTGAAATTCTTGAGTGATGCCCTAAAACAGAGGCCCTCTGTATGAAGAGTGACCTCTGCCTGGCACAGCAGCTCATTTTGCTGACTAGGAGCAAGAGGTTATCTGGTATTTGCCAATGTGGTTGGAGTGCTGAAGAACGAAAAACAAAATACCAAAGCTGCAGAGCTGGAAAAAAGAAGAATTTCCTTTCCATCTCATTAAGACTATCCAGTTAGGATTGGTTGGGAAAAGAAAGAAACCATTCAGGGAAACTGGAAGTGAAAGTGGAGTATGTTTGATCTATCAGATGAGTCACACACTGCAAAGAGTTTTTCCTGGACGCTAGGAGCAGCAGTGCATTGGATTTGCTCCATCAACAATAAACAAACAGAGTGTTTAATGAATCTAATGCAATTTTGATGAATCTCACTTCTCTAGGGAGGCCTACTTGATTGGTAATTGCTGATCATTTTAAAGGTGAAACACATATGTACCCATTCAGTGCTGGGGTTCCCGGGCTTTGGGGGTTGGTTTGATCTTTCTCTTCCTTGGTAGTCTTAGGAAAGCCTTGCTTTAAGCAGCTTGTGAAGATGTCTCAGCTTCTGTTCATTTGCCCTTGAGAGTTACGTGTAAAGGTGGCAGCAGAAAGTGCAGTCCCACTACTCATTCTTGCCCTCAATGGAAAGGACAAGTAATGCCATTAAAAGGGGAATGAAGCTGCTAAAAACTGTTACGGTATTTATTAATTTATTAACTTGCATGCAGATGTTGCTAGACCGTGATTTTTAATCAATTTGCCTTTTCACTTCACTACTGAAAAATAGCAATCGAACATGAGGGACATCTGCCTGTCCACACAACAGAGCTATTACTTGTTCATCAGCTGAGTACTTGCCTAGGATAGAGTTGAAGAGGCTAGACTACCACAAGTTGTATGTGAGCAGAAGCAGCCAGGCATTCAGAGCCTAGAGTTTCAAGATTACAGACTTTTCACGAGCCTAGTTTAACCTCAAATCTATTGAAACTGATGACAGCATTCTTACTGGTGAGTCAGACTGTCCGATCAAGCCTTGAAGGTTGGATTCAGATGGTGCTTCAGTTCTTTTCCTAAGAGGGAAATTGGTGTGTTGATACTGTGCCTTTTGTAATGAGCTCTTCAGGAAGCATAGGCTCTGTGGGCAGCACATCTGTATTGCAACGTGGAGAGCTCAGTCACTGTGTGGGTGATTTATCAGACCAGCCACACGTGTCAAAGTAACTCCAGCAGGGTTGATTAGCAAAGGAGATGCAGAGACAGACAGCAGTCTGCTGTTACAGCTCCAGCTGACAGCCATCTCAGAGCTCTGTCTTGTGTGGCAGACAGGGTTGTAGTCTTGGGAAGCACGGAAGGAAGAAGAGCTTGTATTTCTAGGTTGAAATTATGTTTTTTTCTTGCATGTAGGATCAGAACCAATTCGTAGCAGAACAGGAAAAAGTGGAACTTCTACTCCCACTACTCCTGGCTCCACTGCCATTACTCCAGGGACACCACCAAGCTATTCTTCCCGTACACCAGGCACTCCAGGGACACCCAGCTACTCCAGAACCCCACATACTCCTGGAACCCCCAAATCTGCCATACTGGTACCTACTGAGAAAAAAGTTGCCATAATTCGCACTCCTCCTAAGTCTCCAGCAACTCCAAAGCAGCTGCGAGTTATTAACCAGCCTCTACCTGACCTCAAGAATGTCAGGTCCAAAATTGGATCAACAGATAACATCAAATACCAGCCTAAAGGGGGGCAGGTAAGGATTTCAGTCTGTATTTTCATCTATATGTGATTTAATCTCGCCTTTTGGGTTGGTATGGGGCAGGAGCCATTTTAAGTTTCCTTTCAAATGCTACTTCTCTTGTCACTGCCATCTACGTTGGTTGTTTAAGTGATGTTAAATTGCAGTGGTCAGGACTGTATTCAGAAAATCATCTTCACAAAACTGGAGCAGTACCTCACTGAGATCAGGGGAGAAGTTTCCAACAAGAGCTTGCACTCTGTGTCACAGATACATTTCAGTGTGACCCTCACCAGTTTTTGCTTCCTTAGTCTTCAACAGCACCAGAAAATTAAGGAAGTTAGCTTTAATTCAGGCAAGTTCAAATTCAACCTAGATAGATTTTAGCAGGATTGCACAGCACCATGACCTTTCCCTGTGTCATTTTGCATGACTTAAGCACTGTGTTGAATGATGTAAATGAATTGCAGCCTCCAACCTGGGTAAATTGACCCGAAATTAAAGATGATGGGGGGGCACAACTTAACTGTTCATTCCAACTACTTCAGGGTTGGAATAAGCAGGCTCAGGTCTCACATAAGCTGGAGAAGGCATATACATGAAGAAAAGATGAATGCATAAGAAGGTAAATCAGCATTTTCTGTTCTTGTTGTCTGAAAGCATATGAATTCAGAGACGTTTTGATGCAATTAAAAGTTGAAAAATGAGAGAATGTTTCACACCTTGCATAGTTATTACACCCTGAAGCACATGATCATAAAGATTGCTATCAGCTGAAGACTGATAACGTGTATGATAACAAAATCCCTTGTTACTAGAGACAGAACTTACTGAATGTTGAAAAGGACAGTGAAGACGTAGACTTTTCAGGTGAGCAGGAGCTTTTGGAGACTGAAGAGAGACAGAGAATACCGTAAATTTTCCTATGTTATGATTTTTATGCCTTCTCCCGAAGAGTATCTGCCAAACAGAGCGATGGGCACAGCTAGAATAGCCTTCTCTCATTTTCGGGCAGTGCAGAATTGGTATCGTGCGTGGCATTAAAACACAAAATTCTGTTCAATAAAACAGGCCTTCTGCTTGGAAGAACATTTGTTTTAGCTTACAGGACGAAGCAGTCCATTTTATTAATGTTTAAATGGCTATAAACCCGTTTACAACCTAAAAGAAATCCTATTTCATTTAGAAACAAAGAGGCTGAATGAGAAGGAGGAAAAATAATATAACCTATCAAAACTTAGGCTAAAAAATGCAGAAAACTCACCCTTATGGCTGTAAACAATTTTGTTGATAAACTTTTTGTAAAAAGTTTTTGTTCATTTTCTATTGATTGAGGGCACAACCCCACCACAAAAACAGCCTGTGTCCCCAGCTCTGTTTTACTTCCCTGAGACTTCTGAGTTACAGCACTGGCAATCTGGGTGCTTTCTGGGCAGGTCCACCTCTCAGCTACCTGCAGGGACAGGACATGTGTGATAAACACGCTCCCCCATTCAGCTGTCCAGAAGATAAGACATTCTAGAAAGCTGGGTTGCACAGTATTCCCAGATCAGATACTTCTGTAAATTTCTGAGTTTTGGAATACATTGTGGAACATACACAACAGTGAGGTTGCCTAATGCTGCATCCAGAAAAATAAAGAAACTGAATTAAAAAGGAATATTGCTATACTACATTTACTGCAGGTCTTCCAGAGAAAAAAGCAGGCTCATATATTAAACAGTAAGGTATCCTTTAAGCGTGGATCCTGTTTTCATCAGTAAGTCAACATATTCAACATCTTCTGGGATTTGGACAGTAGCAGCTTACTTAGATAAAGTCCAGAGATCATGCCTCTGCATTGGTTCTCCTGCCTTGATTTCGCTAAGTGTCTGCGTAGTTATTTTGCATGGAAGTCCAACGCCCATCTGACATGCTGCATAGCAGATAGTCAAGCTGCAGAGGGGTCTGGAGGACACCTTCAGATAGTGCTTCTGGATTCGTATGTTTTGCAGCAAGTTCAGCTGCTGGACATGGGGGCTCAAAACCCCAACCATGTTAGCCTGACCTCCTTCCTTTTAGTCTCTGTGGACCACAAGAGCAGTACAAGACTAAAGGACCAAGTGAACTGTATTTAATTGTAAACACCATGCCTGGACAGCTTAGCAGTTCTGTGGAGTTGTACAGTCTTTTCTGGATAGTGAAGAATGTCCCAGGTTTTGGTACTTCACATTTTGGGGGATCACAGGTGAAATCTCCTGCCTGCACACACACTGTCACAGAAATGAAAGAATTTTTTATTCCCTCTGGTCTCAGGCCACTGAACTGGGCAAAGGGAGAGCCGATGACTTTTTTCTTTATGTCTCCCTTATGCCATCGTTCAGTCTAGACAAGTGGTTTCAGGATTAATTCTTTGCCAGTATGTGCAATTGAATTTTATAGGGTCTGTTTGAGGAACGTATAAAAGCTAATTTAATTTCCTTCTGTCTTCTCCCTTCTTTTAATGTCTGGTGGCAAATAGTGCGCTGGCTAAAGTGAGCTGTTATCTACTATCTGGTTTTAGTGATGATACATGGAACAAGCAGAAAGCTGCTCAGTTTTTATAACCTGAACTGAAAGTGCTGATAGCAGTAACCACGGGAAAAACTAGCAGACAAAAAGCCGACATACATCTGAGCAAGTTAAGCACATAAACATGACATGCAAATCACTAAAGAAATACAGATATGCAGCCCAGCAGTGTCATTTGGAGACAGACTATGCTTTTACCAGAGGCATATCTTAACCTAGCACAAGGTCTTTTCTTAGCTCACAGCTGTCCTAGAGAAAGCAGCCGCACTGTGAAACCACCAGAGGCTGAGGTGCAGAACTGAAGCAGCAGGGGAGGTTTGAACGCTGTATAAATCAAGAAATGCAGTGCTTCAGCCTGGAATTTCATCAAAAGCTCATCAGCTAGCAGTTTGACTTGAATTCAGCTTTGATTTGCCAACCACAGAAAGAAAGGAAAGGAAGATACTACTCCACCTTACAGAAAAGAGAAAAAAAGAAAAAAAAAAAGAGCACATTTCTAGTGGGAGAAACAAGCAAACAGCGCTCTGCATTCTGTTCCTAATAGGAATAGATGGCTTGAGATATGTTTAATTGCTATTCTGTAGTCTGGAGAAATGAGGGCTTCTCCATTCGGTGTTGAAGCCAGGAGATGGTTATCTGGTTTTCTCTTTGTAGTAAAGTATGGTGAAATGTTATCATTCTTGGCAAAGCTCGGAGTCAACTTGCTCATGGGTATGTCTGCTGGGCTTCAGATGGATTTTAGCACTGCATCAGCTGTGGAGGAAACACTGTGCTTTCAAAAGCAACCCATTTGCATCTGTTATTTCTCAGACAGCCCAAGGGAGGCATGGGGAGAACTGGGGGAAGGGCTGGAAATGTGTTTCACATGCCAAGACTTTGGTTTTGCTTTTCTGTTCAGACTTTCTGTCATCTTGAAATTATATCTATGAGTGCTGTTTGTACACAGCAGCATACAAAAGTGCAATTAACTCTTCGTTATGGACCAGGCAGCGTATTTATAAAGCATTACAGGCTAGCAACCAAGGAGAGAGCCAACTTAGATTTCTTTTAACTTAATTTTGAGAGGTACACTACACTAACAGCCAGGCACCTTGTAGGGAGTAGGATGACATATTAAAATGAAATACCTCAGCCCTGTTGGAGAATTAATTGCTCCTTACATGTTTTTAGAGAGATTAAAGGGAGTATTTGTACTATTTTCTGGAGTAGATTGAAGGTACCAGGACACAGATTTCTGTAACAGCCTGAGTCATTCCATTGGCAAGTTCAGCATGGCCAGCATTTTCAGCAGAGCTCTGAGTTGTCTAGATTTTGGCAACAAAATGGAGAAGGTGGTTCTTATTGGAAAAATGTTCAGGCAATACACAGTCTGGATTCAAGCTGTTTAGTCATACCATGGTGTTCTCTCTTGCACGGTAAAGTGAAAAAAGAATTCATTTTGCTAGATGGGAAGGAACAGAAAAGGAAAGGATAAAAACCTTGTTTTTTATCTGGAAACTTTGGATTTGGAAAAGAGATGCTAGGGGACAAATCTGGTGAGCTTTGGGAAAATCGACTTCCATGAAGACATAAACACAGGGTGTTTTTTTCAACTTGAACTGAACAACGTAATTTTCTCCATTATGCTGGAGTAAAGAAAACCCAGGCATTGCAACTCAAAAATGATTCCTTAAGGCTGTGGAACTGATTTGCAAACTTTGATGCTTGTTACTTCATTTTTGAAGTTATTAGCATCCCTTCAATTATTAGCAACTGTTCCTTCTAAAAATTAAGGACTGAACTCTATGGTTTCAGAAAAATCTGTTTTGCTGTGGGTTTGTTTGTGGGCTGGTTTTTCTATTTTGTTTTTTTTTGGGTTTTTTTTTTTTCAGTTTAGGGCAGTACTGAAGCAGCAATCTATGGGATCCTGGGTTTTAGCTGAATTAATTTTGCTCCCAGGATTTTTTTTACTTGGCGTACCTGAATCAGTTTCTTTTTCCATCTGGTTCATCATTTGCCCAGATTTAGTGAGGAGTATGATTACAGAACAGTTGTTACATTTTATCTGTCTCGAATCTTGCTCTTTCTTGAATGCTCAGTTAAGATGACTTTTTGTCCCTTGACTGTAAACTCTTCAGCATGGAAAGTTGTCCATTTGCCTTGTTTCCCAGCAAGACATCTCAGTGTTCCTGCATCACAGTCATGCAACCAGACCGAGGCCTGCCTTGCTAGATGTTAGATTTAAAGAGAAAATTCCAGTTTCTGTATCAGTTGTTAATTTATGAGAGAGAAATGTTGGTTTTTTTTCTGTGTGATAACTATGAAAACAACATCTATCACAAATCTGTGTGCTTGGGACAATTAGCAACATGTATGTGATATTAATCAATGGGCACAATTTAAATTTTGGTAGTTGAGAAAGATGCACTCAGAAAATATTTTTTGCCCTTGTGTCGTGCTGATGATGGCTTTTCTTCCCTTTACAA